ATTTTCAACTAATAATCGGCGATTTGTCTTTTTAGGGCTCCTAGTTAAGTCTCTATTAATAGATCTTTTATCTCTTTCTGAAAGCTTTGAAACTCCGCCTCTACTAACTCTTTCAAGTCTTTCTTTTCTGTATTTTTTTTCTTTTTAAATCGATAAATAGCGTCTCTAATAGCCTTAGGTGGCTTACTAAGTAAAATAGATATATTTTTAATGGCTATATTTGCCTTTAACAAACGGGCAACTTCAGCTTCAAATTTTGAAAATTTTGGATCCATAGTGAGGAATTAAGAAATCAGAAATTCAGGATAGAAAGAATCAAATATATAGTATATTATGACTAATCAGGCTTAGTAATACACTAAACTTAATTTAGTAACTTTGTCTTTAGAACTTAATATTTAATTCTAGAGGATTGCTAAAAATAGAAAAAAAACCTGTCACGTGATCTTCTATATATAGACTATCACATATCTCCAAACTAAGCCTTTTTAAGTAAGGACTATTGTTTTACAATAAATGAAATTTTTATTATTTTAGTCTCCTATATTCTATAATTTTTCTCCGCTCAGAGCTGTTGACTAAGCAGGAGATGGGCTCACTATGCCAAACTAGGAGATCTTGGCTTTCTAGATCTGCAATTCGTTTATTTTTAGCTATTTTTTCTAGCTAGATATAAAAGTTTCAAAATAACAACTTCTTAAGTGACGTTTTTTTCGTGTCACCCCTCTGTACTAAATTTAAGTTCTTATTTTATGTAATGGGCGGGCCCAACGGGCCGAGCGTACGACTACTTACGCCATCCATAGCCAAAAAGGCAGTAACAAGACTTCAAGCTTCTTGAAGTCTAGGTAGTCGTATAGATATACTCGATCATACACACTTAGGCGTAGCCTCTTACATTTCAAAGCTAATTCTTTTTCTAAAAAAGTACTGAAAAGAAAAACTATGTATCTTTACTTAAGAAGATAAAGTACTTTTATATACCTACTACGCTTAAAAAACTATATACTAAAATACTAAAGTATAGTAGCTCTTATAGCTTAGTAATTTACTTAATCTTAATACTATTAAAGTAGCCTAGCTATAGCTTGAAAGGAAAATAATATAAAAAGGCGTACTAAAGAGTTAAATAAAAGAGATAAAAGTATAGTAATAGTACTAAAATAAGCTACTTTAATATTAAATTTAAGCTTAGATAAAGTGTATTCTATTTTATATTTAAGAGATTGTTAAACTTAAAAGTAGTAATAAGTATAAGAAGAGGCAGCGGGACTAATCTATAAAGCTTTAGCCCTATTTTTGGCGGTAATTAATGCACCCCTGTTAGCAAGAACTTTTGACAGTCACCTCCGTAGCTGTTGTGCGAATGCGCACGAATGCTCCAACTCCTCCACATTCCCATTCCACAAGCGGCTAACACGTCCAGACGGACCACGGTCGAGTGAGCAGGGTCAACGTCTTCCACGGAACCACTATTGTTCTATGTCACCTTCTTCGTCGTCATCATCTTCTTCTTTCGACCAAATCACCCCCCCCCCTCCCCATCCCTACGTCATAACGGCTTGATCTATGTTTCAGATGCACGACTCAGTTCCCGCTCCTCAAGTCCCCCTCAACAATTTCCCCTCGGTCACGCAAGGCAAAAAGAAAATATCTAGGATCCTTTGATCGATCGTTCGCAACCCGTTTTTATTTCTTCTTTCCTTTCCTGTCATTCATTTCTCGTCCCTTTTGCGATAGTAATGATTTGCCGGCAAGGAAAATTTCGATAGACAGGACACAGGGGGCGGGAGGGCGGCAGGATGCCTGCTTTGGGCTACCTAAGCTGGCTGCCGTTTTCACTAATATATCTCCCTACTACTACTTACTCGTCACTACAAGGACGACGACGACGAGGGGAGAGTATGACAGGGAAAGGATCCCTTGGCTAGTTGTAGGTGTACGTTCATGGCACTGTTTCCTTACCCGCTTTACGCGTGTGTTTCCGTCTGTCTGCCTTCCCCCAGCACGCACCCGCCCCCCTTTTAGCGCGTGTTTGTGCGGCGTAGGTGGAGACGCAAGGGTACATTCATACGTACGTATGTAGTTTGAATTCAATGGACATATTTGCATCGGCACTTTCACAGGTCCGGGCTGTCTCTCTCTCTCTCTCTCTCTCTCTGGTTATGTGTATCTTATCCCAGGAAATTGTCTATATCACTGGCCCTTGTACATACATGTCCATGGCCATGACCATGACCATACTCTGCTTTGCTCATCCAGTGCTCTGACGCCAGAAAACATCAAACAAAGTCTTATCTATCTATCCATCTAGTACTCCCACGTCCTTTGTCCTTCCTCGCTTCCTCCCCCACGCATACACGTCCATTTTTCGGAGATTTTCTCCTACTTATCTCTCAGTCAGTCTATCTTTCCTTCTGCCTCGGCTGTGCACACATGTGGCTCTCAGCCGTTCATGTGCTATTTCCCTTGGCCTTGATGTGATTTCGTCTCGAGCTACGGGTTATTTGGTGGCGGCCCGCGTTGTGACCAATGGGCGCGCGTGGCGCTTTCTCTTTCTTCATCCCATGTATAACACGTGCGTGGGCTGCGCGATATAAGGTAGGGTAGTGGTAGGACGCTAGGGGTTTATGTAAGTAGGGGGCGGAGATGGGGTCCGAGGACCAACCGCCACTTTGTATCCAAGTCAGTCATGTACACACTTACTTGGCACCGTAGCACCATCCAAGCACACAGACACACGTTCGTGCGCACGCGGGAAGTGGAGAAGGACGGGTAGGCGCGTTTTTTTTTAAAAATTAAACTCACTAGGTTTCTGTCGTGCGTTCATGGGTTTGATTTGAGTGGCTGGTTTAATAAGACTGCGAGGTAGGGTACTTGGGACTTAATCACGCTAGGCTGGGTTGGTGGCAGGACATGACAGGGTAAGGGGGGTAAGCCCTCTTCCTTTCCTCCTCTCTCCCCCGCCCCCACCCCTCCATTTCCTTCCCTGCGCTGTGTAGATAGAGGCTTGGCGGTGTTTTATCTGCAATCGTGTACTACGTATCATGGTTACTATCGCAATGAAATTACATATGTGGTTTTGTTGGGGGTGGTGATGGCTATGGAACTGCTTTTCTCTCTATCTTGAGCCAAGCGTACATGAGGAGGAAAAGGTAAATAGATTGAGTCCCCTAGATGCCTTGGATCATCCCATCTTTGTAAATTGGTGGTGTCATGAAGACCTAGAGGCTAAGATGCCCTGGTTTTTGTTTTCGTCTGCTTGTCTGCTTACCTCCATGGATATGGATATGTTTGGCTTGTGTATGGCTTGTGTGTGGCTTTTGCGAGGCGGCGGCTATTCTCTCGCATCCCTGTCATCACTTGGTATGGCTGATATTCGCTTTTTCTCGGGATTTGGTTCCACCTATCATTCCACGTCGCTTCATGCAAGCAATGGATGGCTGTGGGTAACAAGGACAAAAGAGACTAGCTGTGGCGGTCGACTCCTTTGTGTAAAGTCTAGAAGCAAGAGGATCAATACGCACTAACGCTTTGGTCATTTATATTCATATTGGAAAACGTGACTGGGAACCGTAGCCATCATCAAGAAAGGTCACGACTCAAGACTTGTATCCAATAGCATCTGTAAGAAGTTGTAATCATTGTTTGTCTCAATTGCGAACAACCTGAATTTGATGTCGGGCCTGCAAAGTCTGGTAATCAATATAGTGGTTGGAAGCTAGGAGGACTGGTGAAGCTGCTCACACAGGGGCTACAGACCACTTGGTCTAGATTTATTTTCATAGTTTTGTCTTCATAGTTTATGTAGGTTGAAAACTAGACTTGAATCCAAACGGCATGCTTTGATAATATCTTAAAAGCTATTCCTCCGTGATCTATGTACTTGGATATGACTCAGTGTAGTACTTGACAAGAAAATTTTGTACATTGCAATACACCATTAATCTAGACATGGGACGTCCTTCATATCGTTGAGGTTAACTTAAAAAGTTGCTTCTTTCATCCTGAAATCCAGGCATTCTTTCCGCAGCACTCAGAGCAAGTAGTTCGCATTAACTTCACATCAATTTAGCTGGATATTCTGCTTCATTGGTGAACACAAGAGTGCTCGAGTGACAAAATGCTGCTGTCGAGCAGGCTGAACACATGCCGCGCCTGAGAGGATTTCATGATACATGAGACCAGGTCTCACTCGCGTTGCAGCAGGCTCGCTATCAAAGGTAAAATTGGATCTTCGCGGGGGCTGTTCAAATCGCTTTCGTCAAACCCTGAATAATTGATAATTTTCTGCACTGGTTTGGGGAATTGCTTACGACCGTTTGCTGGTTGTATGTCTAACCAGTCAAAGAATTCTGCTGCTTGTTTGCCTCTTCTATCCTTTGAGCACAACGATGTTGGTCCTATGTATTGCATGCCCCTTTCTACGATATCCAAGCAACTCCATACTCCTCTAACAGTAGATTAATAGGGGATTTGGTCCAGTGGCAAGACGCTCGCGCCAGGGACATCAAACGCTTAGCGTTGGGAGCCGATATGGCACGGGGCACCTAACCAGTGTTCATGGGCAGATTATTGCACCTATGCCACCCAATGTAGCTATATGTCTAGAGTCTGTAGCAGACTATAGATATCGCGAGAAACGGAAGTTCGAGTCTTCCAATACCCAAATCTTTTTGCTGTTGATTGGTTGACAATGACTTGCATGGTGAAACCGCCATTCGGTGGGCGCATTGTTCAAGCAAGGGTTCATTCCTTCACCCCCCTCCTTCTCGCCTTATCCCACTCTTTTTGCTCTTTCAAGAACCTCTCTTTCTTGTCCACATAACCGTCGTGCATTTTGGCTCGCTCCCACACCTCCTTGAATACCTCGCTCGCCTCGAGCTTTTCCTTCATACCCTTGTGTCCTTTACTTTTGTCCAATTTCTCTCCAGTGTTTTTATCGTACTTTTTGCCGCCAGCATGGTTTGCATACCTCTTTGCGCGCGTCATGCCCATTTGTAAGAACTTGCGGGACATGTCCATGCCGATAAAGTCGTCATGATCGTTGTATTGCAGGAACGTCTCGTAGATTTCTGATGAGGATTGACGCGCGATAGATGGTGTTTTGAAGCGCCATAAAGGAAGAATCTCGGACTTGTATGGTTCGAATGTTAGAACGCCCGTTTCGCCGCGGCCGATGCGGTAGGCCATTCTTTGGGCTTTTGTGAGTGGCTCCGTGGGCATTTTGTGCGTACCTATACGTGACTGAGCTGAGAGTGAAAGTGGCAGCCATGGAGCTGGGAAGGGAGGGAGTGACTGACGTGTGTTGGTTCGTGGACCCTGATGACGTACTTGGTGCTTTCACGCTATGCGACACGCGATCACGTTTTTCTGGGCACGCACTTGGTGTGTAGTATGCCATAGCTGAGGTCCCGGATGGATTACCTGGTGTTACGTCTGATTGGTTGACGATGCGTGTTAAGTGAATATATATAAGAATTTGTACATGTAAGTCTGCTCCCATTGGAACGGAATTGGTTATCCGCTATATGCATTGAGATGCAACCCTTCCCTCTAATGCGATGTGGCGTGTCTAGAGCTTGTGGTAGTATGAAGCTGTCCCCCGGGTAGGATATATGCCATGCATTCGCCGATTCACGCTCCTGGCCTGTCTTGATGCCGCTTTGACACTCGGTCAACTGTATTGCTTTCCTCCCAGACACTCGCTACTGGCCGCCACTCTTTCCCCAGGGCCTACATATCGCCTTCTCGACCCGTTGCACAATGGACAGCTGCTGCTCTTCCTTGTCTTCGTCATAGACACCCAAGACCTGGCCAATCAGCCCACCAGGCTTGGGCACTGGACATTCTCGCTTTGCAGCCAATTTCCTCTCAATAAACTGCTGCTGCCGCGGCTCTTCACCCACAGCGTCGTCGCTGGTGTCGCCTTCAGATATCCTCCGTCGTCTGCGCCTGCGGCTCTCGCCTGTGGGATCGGCCGAGTCGGCAAGTGTGCGTGGGTCTACGGGGCAGGGCAAGATGTGCGGTGCTGCGACGACGAGAAACGATATCATCAGCGTCGAAGTAAAGAGCGACGTGGTCATGCGCGAGCGAGGGTGGAGGTGGGGAGGCATGGTGTGGGTGGTGGTGGTGGGTGGTGGGTGAAGTTAGCGAGCGGGCTGGCGAGGCATGCCCGGGCGTATGGCGCTGTTGGAGGCGTCGCGGCGTCTGGCGAGTGCCTCGAGATGTCGTGCGCGGCCAATTGAGGCGCCTCGAGCAGGTGCAGACGTCGGGGGGAGGCGGTGGGCGCGGGGTTGTGGGTGGTGATGGACTTTTGGTGGAGGGAACATCCAAGGCCGAGCTAGCAGCTGCACGGCTCAAGGCAGATCCCTGCGCCTCGGGACGCCCGCCGTGCTGTGCATCGCATGCTCGACAACCACCAGCCCACCATTATGCGCCTTTACTGCTGCTAGCCAGCTGCAACTCGCTACCCCCCATTGCCATCCTTATGCCCGAGAGCCTACACCAGCATCGTTACCAGCACCCCGATACCTGTTGGATCCACGCCAACAACGCGCCCCACGCGTACCGCCACCCTCGACGCCATCCGCGCCCACCAACTTCTGCGACATAGACAGCTTGCCCAAACACCCGTTGCTTGGGTGCGTTGCCACGGATCCACGCCCCCGATCTCCAGAGTGCTCCTGTGCGCGCTCGTAGCGCAGAGCCGTCACCATGAGCGCGGGCGGTAGCGACCTTGACAAGTATGGCCAGCCACTCAGCCTCCACCACATAGACACCCAGTGCGGCACTGACAGCCATTACAGAGCCATTCAGCAGCTCCGCGCATGCCGTCCCATTCCCGAGAATCAGGTTCGAGAGCTGTGTTACAAGGCACGCGAGCTGCTCATTGAGGAGGGCAATGTGGTGGGCGTCGATGCGCCAGTGACGGTACGCAACGACACAGGCTGTCTCGTGAGCCCAGCTAATCGCACAATTCCGGCAGATATGCGGTGACATCCACGGACAGTTCCACGACCTCATGGAGCTGTTCCGTGTTGGCGGAGACGTGCCTGACACCAACTACCTCTTTATGGGTATGCACAGGCTCCATCTGCATGATCAGGCAAACCCCGGCTGACCGTGTCCCAGGCGACTTCGTTGACCGTGGCTTCTACTCGCTCGAATCTTTCCTCCTACTCTTGTGTCTCAAAGTCCGATACCCAGACAGAATCACGCTAATCCGGGGCAACCACGAGTCGCGACAAATAACAACGGTATACGGCTTCTACGATGAGTGCCTGCGGAAATACGGTAGCGCGAATGTATGGAGGTATGTATTGCCGCTGCAATTCGGCTGGAACGTGTGGCTGATCTCTGGCAGGTATTGCTGTGAAGTGTTTGACTACCTCGCCCTCGGCGCTCTCGTCCAAGGCGCCGCAACATCCCTTCAAGCCACCGATGGCCCCATAGCAGAGACCAGTAACGCAGAGAATATGCCTGATATCGACCAAGACATTGAGATTGAAACACTCAACGCCAACGGCGAGGTCATGTACCGTTATGCACGGAACTCGGACTCGCATTCGAGCGCCGCTTCACAGATGAGCGGGAACATGGGCTCTTCATCGCCCGTCGCTCAAACGCCTGGACGTGTCGGTCCCGCTGGCACGGGCGCAACCTCCTCCGCCAACGGATCAGCTCGCAACGACACGGGTGCCATTCTTTGTGTACACGGCGGTCTATCACCTCTCGTCGACTCAGTTGATAAGATTCGGTTGCTTGACCGAAAACAAGAAGTGCCACACGAAGGAGCAATGTGCGACTTGTTGTGGTCCGATCCCGACGAGATAGATGGCTGGGGCCTGTCGCCACGTGGTGCAGGTTTCCTGTTTGGTGCGGATATTGTCAAGACCTTCAACCACAAGAACGACCTCAGTCTTATTGCGAGAGCCCACCAACTGGTCATGGAGGGCTTCAAAGAAATGTTTGACTCGACCATTGTGACTGTGTGGTCAGCACCCAATTATTGCTACCGCTGCGGTAACGTAGCCGCCATTCTCGAACTCGGAGAGGATGGCTCCAACGCTGGCTACCAGAGAAGATCGAACGGCGACAGGGGTGGAGGAGGTGGGGGCTGGGTTCTTGGTTCCAATGCTGGACCGAATGGAGAGAGGCGATTGAGCCCTATGCTCAACGACAATTTCCAGAGAAACAGGGACGGTCCCGGACGACGGTATCGCGTCTTTGAAGCCGCACCCCAAGACTCAAGGGGCATGCCAGCCAAGAAGCCCGTCGCCGACTACTTTCTCTAGGACAGGAAAGAGACGAATGCTGCCAAAGAAATATCCAAAATCCGGGAGATGGGCGTGATGAGTGGCTCGCTCTCAAACCACCATGTGCTCAGAGCGCGCACGCGTGCCGCCGAGTATTTTCTGTAATAGAAGCCTCGGGCATCTGGACTTGTTGCCGGGCAGTTTGGATCCAACATGCGAGGGTGCGCTGGAGTGCATCAAAACAGCTGTAGGCATTGTCGACATGGATACCCGAGTTAATACCACCAGCAAACGATTGACGAGGACACAATGCCAGTTTTTTGTTTTTTTCTCATCGCATTGACAGTTCCTAACAGAACTTTGGTTATCATTCGAGGGATCAGGGGGCGTGGGAGTTGTGTGGAGAGAAGACTAGCGGTCTTTATATTATGAATGGAAATGGATATACGGCGCCGAACGGCAAACACTAAGGCAGCGCAAACGATTCCTCCAGCTAGTGAACTCCTATGTCATCTCCATGGCTCTGTATACTTACTGTTTATATCATTATTGCCCACGATGTTTTCTGAGGCCAAGGTACGGCCACTACCATCAAACTGAGGGCGGTCATATTCCTATACACTAGAACCAGTAGTAAAGTATCTATGCCAGGTTCTTTCCCAAAATCCCCTACGAGACCTCTTGTTGCCTGCTCTATCGACCCAAGCATGCCGTAGTAGCAAAAAAAATTCAAAAACATACAACAGTAGGGATTCGCCAGTGGTCACCCAGCTGCCTACTATGCCACCGGTCAAAGGTTTATCAAGTGGAGATCCAACGGGTTCCTGAAAATAACTTTGCCTATGGTCGTATGTGCCGTAATTGTAGATTGGATACTATAAGTTAGGGCGCGGTTGAGGCTGAGCAGACCGGCCGACCGATCTTGGGTATAGTACATGCAAGCCAGTCCCTTCTCGTGTAGGTCAAGAATTTACTGGATGTAACTATTTGTAGTTCCTATGTAAATTACTGCCTGCCCACTATGTATATGGTGCAGGGTTTACCTCACTGCTGTCTTTGATCGAGTTCGTCACTTACTGTCATGTTAAATCTGTGGTGTCTAGGCATCCATATGGCGAGTAGAATATCTCATTGGCATTTTATACGCGAGGATGATATGGGGATAAGTTCAACAGGCTACTACCACTCAAGAGGTACATCAATGGGTTAAACAGATCAAAGTTTGCAGATTTGGTGATCGGCACTTGACGGGCGGAGCCTTGGCATAAGTACCCGAACGCCAAGCGTGCCGCTCATAAGACATAACTTGGCCATCATGTGATGTCCACATCAGTATGGAAGATGATGATGATGCAGGAAATATGAACATAATTCAATCAGTGGCACATGACTCTGAACACAGTCCGATTCAAGGTAGTGCTCGGGGAAGGGCGGCAGGAAGAGTATGTTTAACACCCATGTCGATTTTGGTATTAACTTCAGCCTCCCGGATGACCCGAGTCGGTGAGACTCATGACACGTACTGAGTATGGCCCAGAATCTGACAAAGGCCAGGGAAATTCATTGCCAAGCCAGTGATACACGGCCGCTAGTTGTATTGAAGATGCATTGTGGTGCGTTTCTACCACATACTGCGAACCCTAATCGTCTTCGGTCTGCAGCACCTGAGGATGTGGCAGCTCTTTCTCAGAGGCATGTTTTGCTAGTCAGTCTTTTGATTGTTTGATGACCTTGATGTTGATCACCATGCCGGCTGTCTTGGCTTCACAAGCTTTCATAGAAACTGTACATCGGGTCTGTGCTTCTCCAGCAGCCCCGTCCCTCTGCCCATCAACTACGATTTTCCCATTTGCAACACTGCTCAGCTTAGCAACGTGAGCCAAGTCGTCTTCGTAATTCTTCGGCATAGCGACCCTGTCGGCACTACATCTGTGGAGCGTCTTACCGTGCCTTGGAAGATCTAAGACCTGCCGGGAAGGTAGGGAATGGGAACGCATCTCGCATACACCCACTTCATTCCCAAAAATATCTTGAACAGACAATTTAGGTTGGTCTCTGATCATCTGTGCCCTCACGTATGGATGGTCTGGTTTGTCTATTGGCCAAGCATCATGCCAAGTTGAGCTACTATCCGTGCGCAGCCAACGAGCCAGTACAGTCAACAAGCCACCCTACCAAGATTAGACGACTAAAAAGATGAGGTTATTAAGCCACCCACAAAAGCTATTATTGTAAGATCTTTTAGTGTATCACTATATAGACGCTACTAAAGCGTTTGCACTACTTATATCTCGCTAGCGTCTTAATTTAGCGGGTGTGCAGGCTAAACTTAGGTAAAAAGGGCGCCTAAGGCGGACCCTTAACTACCTAGCTTAATAGAGCAACAACACGACGATGCTTTGCTGGTTTTTTTGCTAGCTTAACTAAGGCTTCTTACTTACGCTTATTTGCTATATTATAAGTTTTTTTTAGTGTTGTAGCTTATTGTTGTTATTTAAGCGCCTAGGTAGCTGCCTTTTCTTTAGCGCGCGATTTCTGCTTACGCTCACGCTCTATTTTAGCTTCCTGTTAAGCAACCTTTGCAGCTTCTGAAATTTTAAGATTGTAGAGCTTTGCCGCCGCCTTAAGTTCCTTATCCTTAGCTTTTTGGAGTTGTTCCTGCTTCTTTTGCTCTTCTTGTACACTGTTACGAACCTAAGGAAGGGAACAGCACGAAGATAAAGAAAGAAGAAAGGAAGAAGCCCATGTCAAGGCCTCACGAAATAACAAGAGCATATAGACTAATGACGCATAAGCGCCCCGCGTCCCACGGTCTTGGCGGAACGCCACCATGAGACAAGTCACGTGTGTCCCACGGATCCCACGATGTCCCACGAAGTACCACGCATAGGACAACATGATACATGTAGGACAATATAGAACATAGGACATTCCTTTAGTATATAGCATAGGCATTAAGCCCTTATAGCTTAATGTGTTTAACTTAAGTTTTAAGTACAAGTACAATACAAAGAGTTATTCTACTTGCACGTTACTGTCCTCGTTTGCACCCTGTCACTCTATCTGCGAAAACTAACTAACAAGAAGATCAACACCAGAAGTCTTATATTACTTCCACTTGATCTAGACTCTTAACACTTTAAACACCCTTAAGATAAGCGATATTGCAATAGACACCCTAACCGCTTCCTAGACTAGAGGAACTACCGTCAACGCCTACAAGCCTAACCTTTACTATAGCGACTGCAACAAGCTTAAAGCTTAGCTCCTCTAGGTTAACTGTTACTTCCACCTAGCTAGAGACAAAATTAAGAATAACAACAAGGTTGTCTTAGCTACTACGTACCTTTAAGGTGACGCAGAAAAATAGGCTAATCTAATTATTAAAAGCTATATGGATAACTCCATTACTAACGCCGACAACACTACCCTAGTCGAAGATTAGGATGCTTTTAAGACTAGGATGCGACAAAACTTCTTACCTTTTAAGGAATCCCTAATTGCTAAATAAAAAATTTAGACCTTACGCTAAACTAGGTCTATAACTAATTACACGACCTAGTTCTAGCAGTACGCTACAAACATTAAATAAGACAACAACGCTCTTATACGCATGTATCGCTAGGGCCTCAAGCTAATAGTGCGCAGAGAACTTATAAAAAGTAGAGCTAACGTTACTAACCTTAACAAACTTATAGCAGAGGCTATACGACTTAACAACAAGCTTTATAAGCTTATATTAGAAGAATAACTATTTAATTAGAGAACGCGCAACAATAACAATAGGAACAATTAGCCTTAACAACAACACTACCGACGTTCTTAGCCTAACTAGGGGCGACAAAGGAGCTATTAGCCTAGGACACCTAGTGCATATGCAACTAATAGGTACGAACCTATGCACCTTAACAACATTAACTATAAAAAGGGACCTAGCAAGCCTTACTACGAGAAAAACAAGGACAATAAGAAGAAAAAGATTAACTGCTACGTATGTGGCAAGGAAGGCCATATAGCGCGCAACTATATAAGCAAGAACAAGGTTAAGCGATAGCTCAACGTCCTACGTAGGAAGTTGGAGTTAGACGACGATAAATTATAGAACGTTATCACCTAACTAGAGATTGAATATCACCTAAACGACATAGAAGTCATTAGTAGATTAGAGGACCTAACCCTAACCACGTCTAAGGACACATCTAAAGCTAAACTAGTTAGCGACGAGGAATACAAGACGCCAGATAAGGAGGAACAACCCCTCGCGTCTAAGTACAAAAAGATGGCACGATTTTAGGACAAAAATAGGCCATCCACGCCCTACGTAAAGAGGCAAGACAGCGCGATACTAGAATTACCTAAGACCCAACGTTAAGAAATCCTAGCAGAAGTAACTAAATGGATTAACGCCCTATCTACACTACTAGGACACCCTAATAAACCCTACACTACTAAGGATGATAATAACGAAACGCTGCTTAACTTGTACCAACAACTGTGGCACCTACGATTGGACATTAACTTCTACTAAGTCTAGACAACACAGCGACTACCTACTTATAAGTACATTAACAGCAACATTAACTAGCTAAGGGAAGGCCTTACACTACAATAGGCATAATAAGCTAAGCAAAACTAAGTATATGATAACTCTACGGAACCCGTATAGTACTAGTACGACGTAAGGAACAAGAATCACGCTAGCCTATCATGGACCGCGTGTACGCATGACTACTGCCCAACTTACTACTTAGACAAGAGAGGAGCTAGATAGAGCCTATAGCACGCTAAGGGCATGCCTAAGTGTAAATGGCTATAGTACGAATGCAATAACAACAGCTGCCCTAAACACTTATAGGATAAGCGAGAAAGGATGCACTTTCTAGGACAAGAAGATCCCTAGGACATTATACAGATGCAGACAGTATACGAAGTGCAGTACCTAGATGGCCCCTTTGTAAGGGGCTGCGCTCCGGGGAGCAATCGCGAGGTATACAAGAGGTTGTATTCGATAGAGAGCTATAGAGTCTACTTGCGTGGTGTTTATTTACTTGTCGGAGAAAGGTTGCACCGAGTGTCTGAGCGCGTCGTCTGGGCGCCGCTCAGGCCTCGCACAGATGCCGGGTTGCAGAGTAAGACCTGGCGTCTGCTGCTTGACCGAGATTCCATCGAGGAGCTATCTAAAGGGCGTTCAG